GCAACGGGAGAGGCCACAACAGTGAGAGGCCCGCGTACCGAAAAAAAAAAAAGAATATGGTAAAATTTAACATTTGGAAATAAAAACTTAAGAGAAAAAACAAAAAATAAAATTATTGCAATTACTGAAATGTCTAACAATCCTACTAAATGCTTATCTTTGCCCTAGCTAATCACAAAACAGCTCAATTATTTTGTTCTAAAATACTTATAATTTGAAAATTAGAAATCAGGGAACTTGCCTTCGAATCCTATCACTGCCAATCACTTTCTCGGTACCTCTGGCAAATGAAAACTTCCCTCAACCTAAGATTTCTCATCGTAGAAGATGAAATAATAGCTAAGGCTAAAGCAGTGGCACGAGAATGAAATGAAAATTAGCTGTGTTTACCTGCATGCTTCCCTCACCTGTTTTTAAGGGGGGACGGGGAAGAACGTTTTCTTAACACCTTCACTCTCTGGCAGCCTGCCATTCTCAACAGCAACAATCCTGAATGTCTGAAGGCAGCAAACTTAGTTGCTGCAATCTTAAAAGAGGATGTTTGGCACTTTACATAACATATTTTGACAGTGATTAACAGCTAGTATTCCAGAGTGTAGTTACTTGCTTTCTAAAGAAAAGAAGTTAGATATCTGCTCATTAGGTTTTCAAAAATTCATTTTTCACAATTGTCCCCCTAAGAAGCATTATTCTTTGATTTTTCTAAGGCAATTTCAACTTATAACATTATATATTATAGCGATAGTGCTAAAGTGCTGGCTAGTGTCCCTTAGTGCAAGAAAGCTGTGATGTGCCTTATGGAGAAAATACATGTTAGATAAGCTTTGTGCAGGCATGATTAATAGTGCTGTTGGCCCTCAGTTCAATGCTAATGAGCCAACAATACATACTAAATAAGGTGTCTTTAAACAGAAACATGGTTATATAGTGATCAGTTGATGAAAATGTTGTGACCAGAGGCTCACAGGAACCTATCCCTGTATTTCCTCTAGGAGCAAAAGTTCAGTATTCAGTAATTCAGTGTCCGTGGTAACTACTGAGATAGTAAGAATCAACAGTCACCAAACCCATCACCAAGTCCTATAGATTCTACTTCTAGAACATAACTCAAATCCATTACCTTCATCACCTGCTCTGTCATCATGGCCACAATCCCTGGGCTCTAATAAGCTCCCTTACTTCCAACTCTTATACCCTTCCAATCCATTCTCCTCAAAGGAATCAACAAAGTAACTCAAAGTAATGTGGGTCACCATGTTAGTCCCTGATTTAAACCATTCAGTGATTTTCAATGCACTTGAGATAAAATCCAAAATCCTTTACAGGCCCATAGGATTACTCTTGATACCCCGCCGACCTCTCCTGCTTCATCTTAGCACGACTCCCCTCTCACAGCACTCCAGATACACTGATTTGTTGTTCTTCAAACACACTGTTCTCTTTACCTTCTCTCTGCTCTTCTTTTGCCCAACTTCCATTCAATCTTCAGGTCTGGGTTTAAATGTAACTTCCTCAGAGAGGAAGCCCTCAACATTTTCACTGGGTATGTTTCCCACACAGCTATGCTTTAGTTTCATTAACGATTGTCTCATGACATATTGCTGAAGAAGCTGAAGATGCAATCACGATATCCTTTCATTTCATTCCGTAGCTATCAACCTGTGACCTCATGGATAAAATAATTCTCCTTTCTCTATCACTCTTTATCATTCCAAGAGATTAACATTTTTCACAGATGCCCTCTTAAAAGTAACCCCTTTGCTCCAAGAAATAAAATGTTTTCTTGTTATGAATAGCAGGTATTCCATTCTACCAATGTGTTTTGAATAAGAACATGATAATTTGCCAACATGTTTCTCCATAAAAATTACATTTGCTTTAAAATCCAGTAATTTCAAATGCATTTCACTTCTTTCATGCTTTATGATTTTCCAGTGCTTTTTCCACTTGGAAACTCGCTGTGTTTTAAATGATTCTTCTTCACAGCCAAATTCTTGTTAGCCATGTAGTGTCAAATGCCAACCACCAAAACTCTGTGTCATAATACTTTACTTTGTCCTGATTGTCCCTGGTCTTGTGTACTCTGCAGGTAAATGTTCATAAAAGAGCCTCTACACTATGCAGGTGACATACACAGTAAGTGATTACTGGTGATAATCATGATGATGAAGTACAGTATTTAGTTTTCCACACTGTTGCTATTTCAACACCATTATTGGGACTTGTCTGGTGAACTCTTGGAAACTTTTCTGCTTTCATTAATATTTTGATATAATTTCCAAAAACGTTTCCACAAAACAAACTACAACTGACCATATCCATAACACTGAATAACTTAAGAATAGCAAGCAATGCAAAGCTGAAAAAGCATCAAAATAAAACAAAAAGTCATGCAGACAGGTTAGCAGGACACTAGCCCAACTGCTGAGTTAAACCAAAGGCCTCATTGCTTTTCTGCACATTGGTTTTTAAAAAGTCTTAACAGTTACGAAACAACAAAACCATGATCTGATCTTATAGTTTAAAATAGCTGATTTCATGCTTGGGTCATAATTCATTTCATTCCTGGGTCATAATTTTTTCTCCCTAAGGAAGCTGGGGAATAAGGAGAAGAAATGTGTTCCCCTATTCCCCTTTTTCCAATACCGCCATTTTTGTTTTAAAAGAAGTTAAGCCCTAAGATTTTATTAATTTATTAACGCTTAAATTGTTATATGGATGTTGTTCTAGAGCTTCAAGCAGATTTCTTCCTTTGGAACACTGCCTTTTAAAGTTTTAAAGGTACAGTAAAGCCCCTCCTTTACCTGACATTATGCAGAATAGTGGAAGCCAAATTTCCTTAGATCTTGTTAAGTAAAAAGCTGTGAAAGGTCTGAGGTTTTACCCTACTTGCAACCTAACAAGTTAGGCTGCCACAGTATCTCTGCCTACAAGATAAATTTTAAACACAATTTTTCTACTAGAGCTTTCCACCATCAAGTCTCAAGTTATTTTCTGTTCTTTCCTCCTTCCCCAAGCCAGTTTTAGAGTATTTTTTTCTGATGGTTATTTGTAATAATGTGTGTGTTTACTAGTTCATTTTCTGTCTCTTCCACTGAAACTAAGTTCCAAACAAGCAGAAACCATATCTACTTCATACCTGTATATCCAGCACCCATGATAAAACTGTCACACAGAAATCACTTAATAAATATTTGTTAAATGAAATTTTAAAGTGTTTAAATGTAATTTAAACCTACATACATGCTATTCCTCACTACTTCCCACTCTCACCAGCCCATATCTTGAAACCTAGATGAATTCACCTGCCCACATGACCCAGATGGGTCCCCATCTCATAAATCGTTCCCCAAGTAATTTCCTACCAGATTTTATTTAATTCTCACAACCCTATTTTCTCCAATTAAGAAATGAAGAAACTATACAACATAACCCAAAGCTCACCTCCTCTTGTTTCATTTTCTCTTGTCTCTTGTTGCTGTTTTTCTCTCAGCCACAGACTATGGCTGTTTTCCTCTGTCTTGAATGGACTCTGACCCCTAGTTTTACAGACTCAGTGTCTAGAATTTCCCTTTTCAGCCCCATAAACTCACTGCATATATTTCTTTATTGGTGGTGAGAAAGTCATCTGATTTTTATCAGACTTAAAGTATTCCAGTCTATGAATAATACAATGTGGGAAATGAAAACAGACAACCATAAAACTATTGGGCTTATGGGCAGGACTGAAGACTTATAACATAAACTTTAAGAAAAGAAGAAATGAAGAAACTAAAGCTCAGAGAAGTTAAGGAATACGTGGAAAGTCATAATCCCAATGAGTCTAGGACTAAAGTTAGGTCTGTCTCACTCCAAAGCCCCTATTCTTAACCCTCTCTTATACTGCATCCTTGGCTAAAACGATTTTCATAGGATGTTACTGATACAAAACCCAGTACTGCCACACAGTAAAAGTATAGCAAGGGAGGAACCTCAGATGCTGTATAGATAAAATAGGGGTAATTACAGTACTTAACCTAAAAAATATATAAAGATTAAATGAGATAACTAATGAAAAGCACTTAGCACAGTGCCTAACATTTAATACAGGAAACACTCAAGAAATGTTAACTAGGGCTTCCCTGGTGGCGCAGTGGTTGAGAATCTGCCTGCTAATGCAGGGGACACGGGTTCGAGCCCTGGTCTGGGAAGATCCCACATGCCGCGGAGCAACTAGGCCCGTGAGCCACAACTACTGACCCTGCACGTCTGGAGCCTGTGCTCCGCAACAAGAGAGGCCGCGATAGTGAGAGGCCCGCGCACTGTGATGAAGAGTGGCCCCCGCTTGCCACAACTAGAGAAAGCCCTTGCACAGAAATGAAGACCCAACCCAGCCACCAATCAATCAATCAATCAATAATAAATAAATAAATAATAAATGAATAAATAATAAATTAAAAATAAATAAATAATACAAATAAATAAATGTAAATAAATAAGCCAAGCATTTGAAGCCCTTTAAAAAAAAAAGAAATGATAACTATTATTATCATAATATTCCTCTACAACAGAAGTCAGCAAATGTTTCCTGTAAGAACCAAATCGTAAATAGTCTAGGCTCTGTGAGCCACCATACTGTCTCTGTTGCAACAAAAATAAGCAGCAAACTGGATTTGGCCAATGGGCCACAGTTTGCTAACCCCTGCTTTAGGGTGGAATTCTTCAACTTCGGCACTACTAATATGTGGGGCTGGGTAATTCTTTGTTATGGAGTGCTGTCCTGGAGGACAGGACATTGTAGGACATTTATCAGCACCCTTGGCCTCCACCTACTTGATGCCAGTAGCATCCCCCAAGTTGGGTCAACCAAAATAATATCTCCGAGGGAGCAAAACTGTCCTGAGTTGAGGAAGGCTGCTCTAAAGCAATCAAACATACGAAGATGTAGCTTGAATCTTCTGATAAAGAACATAACTGAGTAAAAAATTAATAACAACACACTAAAAAGTATTTATACTCACTTAGCTAAAATTCCCACACTTAGCAATAACTTTATAACTTCTGTGATACACACGGCTGTGGTTGAAAAGTAGAGTTCTTTGTCTGATGTCCTTGTGTATCTTAAAGCTATGGTGTAAGTTGCAGCCACCAGGGTCATCACTGCCAAGCAGTATAACTTGAATAATAAATTGACATTTTCTGGAAAATACGTGCAACAAAGATATTATTTAGTAGACAATATTATGTATGTAAAAGTTAAGCAGTGTTATACCTCAAAATGCCTTCCAATTTCAAGCACAAAATACGTTTAAAAATTTATTTCAAAACAATATTTTCCAACTACATGAACAGAAACAAACATACACACACAAAACACAGCTGACTTTAAGTATCAACTGGTTAGGCACAGATTTTGTTCCTGGGGAGGGCTTAAGTCAAGGTTATGTGGCATAACTAACTCTAGTATAGGATGTTATAAATCACATACTTTATATATCTTTATAATTTATACTTGTGAAAGCAAAACACAAAAGCAAGATGAAAACGATTACTGCAATGTATGTTCTAAATAGAGAGACAGCAGAAAGAAAACAAAAGGAATAACGGAGTGATAAAATAATATAGAACTTCATCATAATAAAAAACAAATTACATCCAGCCTCTCATTTCATAGCATTATAAGAAAGATAATTCATAACACCATAAAAGAGTATTAAGAATGAAGTTCTGTAAAACTTGAAATCCAGGAAATATACACAACTTATGAACACTCAATTTAAGAACTTCTTGCAAGTATATCTGAGCAGCAGCCATCACTCAGGTGCCAGGGCCGGTCCAACACCTTCAATAAAACCACAAGCACCGGTGTACCAGGGCTCCTTCCATACTCCCAGCCCTGCTCTGAGACTACCATCACCTTATGCTCAAACTATGTCTACTTTCTTTACCCACTTCACACCTCTCTCATCCCCAGCTACCTGTAACCTTCTTTCAAATCTCAGGCACATGTTAAACAGGGATCAGCAAATTTTTTTCTGTAAAGGGCCAAGAGTAAATATTTTAGGTTTTTTAGGCCACAAGGCAAAATCAAGGATATCATGTAGGTACTTAGGTGACAAGAGAGAAAATATACTTTCACATTTAATTTATATTTAATTGGAAAAATTCAAAATATAATAATTATTGAGTACAATACTTTACAGTATTGAGAAGAAGGGAATTCTATGGGGTGGGTGGGTAATATTTTGCTTCATTGGTCTTCAAAGTTAGGGATCCATCAGATTAATTACAAACATTCACCTGTAAAAACCATTCTTAGCTGATAGGCCATACAAAAACAAGTGATAGGCTGGGTTTGACCAATTGGCCATACTTTGACAACCTGGGTTAAGAACCAGAGGGACAGGGGGTAACTCTGGGCTGCTACTGTAACTACATTACCCCTACGTACACTTTTGTTCACCGCTTTGGGAGCCTAACCACAACTCAAAGGTGACTTGCACAGGAAAATAAAATAGGAGTTTCAAATAAGTTATATGGTAAGGTAGAAACACACTAGGAAACAGATTATTCAATATAAATATTTTTCCGAGTGAATTAAAGAATTATTTGTAAATTTCAGGCAGATTTTTAAAATTACATTAGGTCTTAAGTGAAAAGTAATATGGTAAAATAGAAGAAATAGAGCTTCTCTGCCTAAACTTTCTTTCCAATAGATCCGAGGACCCAAAAAGCAACGTTAATGTAAAAGGGATTGAAGGAGATTACTATAATACTTTGCTTGCTCTAAAACTTTCCTACACAGGAGGAAATGTAAAACTTAAAAAATAAACAGCAGTACAGGAGAAAGCATTTCCCATCTTCTTGATCGGGGGTGAGCAACCTACATTTCCTCTCATTTTTATATGACCTGCAAGCTGAGAATAGTTTTACATTTTTAAACGGTTGGAAAAAAGTTTTTCGTTAATCTTTTGGGATGTGTGAAAATTATATGACATTCAGATTCAGTGTCCATAAAAAACGTTTTACTGGAACACAACTACGCTTATTTGTTTCTGAACTATCTATGGCTACTTTTTTTGCCGGGCAACAGCAAGATGAGTGGTTATGACTGAAACCATCAGCCGTTAACAGAAAAAGTTTACCAGCCCATATCCTAGATTATCAATACTTTCATAAATAAGAGATGTTAGGATCACCAAACTAAAAACTACTTTATTTTAGCTCTTATATAGGTTCCTGATTCCAAAACAACATAGTGAATGTTTAACACTTTGAAAGTACACCTCTTAGAATCGTGATTAATGGGAATATAGATGATATTCTTGAAAATAACTACTGATGGAAATAGAAGCATAAACAAGTTTAGATATTTGTATAACATACAGGGCTTTGGTATAGAATACCACTTTTAAAACATATAATAAACTTTTTAAAAATACTTAATGCTTTTTTAAGCATTATTTTCTCTAATTTCAGCTTACCATTAGATCAAAATATCTTCTTCACTCCAGTCATTAATTCTCCAATATGAAAGTTCAATTATTAGCAATTTCAGGTTTTTTTCAGGGTAATATCAAAAGTCCATACAGGGACTTCCCAGGTGGGCCAGTGGTTAAGACTTCGCACTTCCACTGCAGGGGGCGTGGGTTCCACCCCGCATGCCCAGAGGCTCCGCCACGAGGAAAAAAAAAAAGTCCACAACTCAACTGCATTGTTGAGTGGGCACACTGGCACATCAGTACTGTTTTCTCCTTCTCACAAAGTTCCCATTAGCTCCCACGCAGTATCTGTTTTTGTGTGGAAAATGCCCCCCAAATGAAATTTACAGCGTGGAGTTAAATCTTCTGCTCAGTTATGCTTCACTATATTTTAGAGGAGACATTATTTGTAACACCTGAGAACTTGGAAATTCATTAAGTCCCAGATAAATAAATCCTTTGTGAATATCAGGAAGCTCAGGAAACTGCAATTTTGTGTTACACATTTCTAGTGGGCATAAGATTTATAACATGACCCAGGCACAGCAAATATGTATTGGCAGTAAACCTAAATCTGTAAATTGTGGCAACTATTTCAGATAATGATTCGACTTATGTAATTCTCAACTTGCCTTCACCATTAATCTCGCTGTTCCCATTTTATGTCAGTTATCAAAACAATTGTATTTTTTTCCCTTTACTTCCTGTGTTGCTACAGAAAGACTTAAGGTTGGGCTTATTTGAGAAGCAAATAGGAGAAGCATATGCAACTACAGACAGTACCCCCTGGGCAGGGCCTGAATAATAAACGTGGCCTCTTCAAACAAGAAAATAATTTGGTACCCATGCAAAAAGCTATTCTTTAAATATTTGCTCAACTTTATTCAGAGGTAAAGCCAAGAGCTCTACGAAAGAAGGGTGGAGAAAGAATCTGGGTGTTGCCCAACCTCTCCTAGCTACTGCTCTACCATTCAGAAATTCAGCTCTCGTCCTTCCTTACTTACCGGACTCAGCAAAGCAGAAGTGCTGCGGAGTTAATCAGACTCACCCTCACGAAATGGCAATTAGTCATCAAACAGTATTACTCTAATGTGCTATCCCTGGGGAAGGGGGCGGGGGAGTGGATCTCGCCCCACCCCTCCGGCAAAATATCAAAGTATTCCTTCTAACAACATACAACATTCTCCTTGGAAGTAACTCTGTTAACGACTGCTTTCTCCACCTCGTTACGGCTGCAATGCTATTTTAATGCCCCAATGATGTTTTCAGTGGCTGTTACGTGGGCCAGCCGCTGCTTAGGCTCTGCACCCGGAGCATGCCCTTATGCCTCTGTGCATCCTAGGGCAGGAGGCGCAGCGGAGACAGCAGCCGCGGTGACCCCGGCCAGGACAGAAACCAGTCCTGCCACCCGCTGGGTGATGCGTCTCCAGCCCCGCACCTGCGCCCCGGCCCCTCGCCGGGTCTGTCTGAATTCGGTTCCCACCCACTGCCAACTCGTCGAGGCAGGCGCAGTTTCGGGCCGCCGAACAGTCCAGCGCGGAGTACGCCGCGGGGAAGGCAGCCGCAGTGGGAGGCTGGCTGCCCCGCACTGCCACGAGCGGCGGCGGCGCGCGCTCAAGCCCGAGAGCGGCTCAACACAAACTCCTGCTGCCCGACGCCCCGGCCTGGCCCCTGGGCCCCAGAGCCCCGCGGGCGCGGAGGATGGCCGGCCACCGACAGGTGCAGACCAGCGCTGACGCCCGCTCGCCACCGCCCCCCGCGGGGTCCCAAGTCCCCGGTCCCAGCAGCCCCCGGCCTCACCTCTCTGAGGAGCCATGGTTCCCCGACAGCACCGCGCGGAACTGACGCGCGCCCCCTTCGCGCGCGCTGCGCAAGACACCGGGGACCGCCTCCTGGGGTCATAGAGACGAAAGCCGCTCGGCCTAGAGCGCCTCGCCGGCCGACCAGCCACGGATTCCCGCTCAGCCAAGCACAAAGATTAGGCTAATGAATCGGAAGGCTGCGGAAAACGGGAGGATCCGGATGGAGGAGAGGCCTGTTCCGCCCAGTCTATGTTGACGAGTGCGTAAAACTCGGTTCCAAAGCGCTCTCTCGTAAACTACAGTAAAACTCGGTTCCAAGGCGCTCTCTTGTAAACTACAACTCCCGGCCGGCTAAGGAAGCAGGAGTCAAGGGAGCGGAGCGTTGCCTTCTGGGAGCTGTAGTCCTCACCAGGTGACTGGGCGGCAAATAGGAATTGGGCTTAGACTTAGGGATTCGTGCCTGGCAAAGCTGTTGTACCACCTCCAAGAACTCGTAAAGTAACAGAAACTTCTTTCGACAGCGTTGGCAACTTCTGTAACTTCCTTTAACTTCCTCCTTCATGAAACTCCTTTGTTACCTCTTATTTAAACTTACAGTAATTCCCCTATATACCAACCTTCAAGTGGCGAACTTTCAAAGATGCGAACGTGCATTCCATCAACGCCAGGCGTGAGTGAAATTGCAGCTTGCCCTCCCTCTCCTATTGCTGACGATCCTTCAGCTCTACCATCTCCCACCTCCTCTCCCTCCTCCAGTCGGTAACTCTTCTTGCCTGTTCACTTGATGCCAGCGCCTATATGCCAGCTGCTGTACTGTACTACTGTACTTTTCAAGATACTGTACTGTAAGGTTTCAAATGTTTTATTTTTTGCTTGTTTTTTATGTATTATTTGTGTGAAAGTATTATAAACCTATTACAGTACTCTATAGCCGATTTTGTTAGTTGGGTACCTGGGCTAACTTTGTTGGACTTACGAACAAATTGGACTTACAAACATGTTCTCGGAACAGACCTCGTTCGTATGTAGGGGACTTACTGTATAGTTTATATTACATATTGTTCAGAAGTCTTGTGCCTGTGTCCTCATCGTCAGCATTATCATTATGTTTACCTAGCCAGACATGCTAACTGCACGATCTTCGCACAACGAAAGGGCTCCGAAAACATTAGACATATCAACAGGCATTTACTTCAACTGCTATGATCTCCATGTTCACTGAAGCATATTAATTAGCATAAGCGATGTTAGAAATAATTCTCTGGCAAAATGAATGGTCTTCAAGATATGTGGATTAAAAATACTATGTAAATACCTCAGTTCTTACAGGAACATGGGTACAAGATTCTGAGATGCCCAGCAGCCTACACCTTCTATGGCATGATCTTTCTCCAAAATGATTTTTTAAAGGTTTGGGTGGTCAATGTTATATACCATTGTCTTATCATTATATACATAGATATAGATACATAGTCTATTAACATTATTGGAATATTTTTCGTTCCTTATTAGCATCACATTAATATCAGAAGGGGCTCACAGAAGGAGATCACAGTTTATATAGTCAGACATTTGATTAATCTCACTTTGGAACAGTGTTGGATCTTCCCTCTGCCTGGTGTATGTGTGCTCACTGGTGCTGATCACCTCTTCCTGTAATTGGTACAGTTCTCACTTATGGAATTATTCAGTTCCATGCTGTGTATTTCTTATACGTACACTTAAACAAAAATTCATATGTGTACTTGAAATTAATTGTGAAAATTAAAAATATTCTATCAGACATTTCTTCTTTTGTTTTATAACTACTGCTCTGTACAGTTTATTTATCTCTTCCCATTTTGGAGTATCATGATAGTCTCAACTTACTTCAATTAACTATAATTATTCTCCTCTGGACACTCAAATTGTCCCAGTATGGTCCCTGTAAGCCTACTCCTTTAAATCTGCACAAGCTTTTTGAAGCATTTTTGATTTCCACGTTCCAGGTTCCAGGCCAATCTTCATTCTTCCCTGTCCTAGGCCATGGAATCAACTACACTTCAAGAAACTATGGTTCCTTCTGGGGGAGAATAGTATTAAACACACACACACACACACACACACACACACACACATCATAATTAGGGTGGTGGGTAAAATGCTTTGGGGCCAGTTTTGTGGCATTTCTGGTTCACATACATATCATGCTGCTGAACCCCAGCTTTCCTGTAAATTTTCATTGCCTGTGAAGACTTTCTACTCCATTGCCATAAGCCTTGACTAGATTTTGATGCCCTTGTCCTAACGTGATCAGCCCAAAACCACCAGGGACAAACCTATAGTCAGACAGAGTCAGGATTATTGGCTCATTCCAGCGAGAGAGACTGCACACCAGAATAACTGTGGGAAGTCTCAGGGAACAAAGGAAAAACAGAGTTATAGAATGTGGGCGAAGAATGGAGTTAGGTGAAACTTAAAAAGAAGTGATATTTTGCAACAAAAAGAATAAAATACCTAGGAATAAACCTACCTAAGGAGACAAAAGACCTGTATGCAGAAAACTATAAGACACTGATGAAAGAAATTAAAGGTGATACAAACAGATGGAGAGATACACCATGTTCTTGGACTGGAAGAATCAACATTGTGAAAATGACTATACTACCCAAAGCAATCTACAGATTCAATGCAATCCCTATCAAACTACCACTGGCATTTTTCACAGAACTAGAACAAAAAATTGCACGATTTGTATGGAAACACAAAAGACCCCGAATAGCCAAAGCAATCTTGAGAAAGAAAAACAGAGCTGAAGGAATCAGGCTCGCGGACTTCAGACTACACCACAATGCTACAGTAATCAAGACAGTATGGTACTGGCACAAAAACAGAAATATAGATCAATGGAACAGGATAGAAAGCCCAGAGATAAACCCAAACACATATGGTCACCTTACTTTTGAGAAAGGAGGCAAGAATATACAATGGAGAAAAGACAGCCTCTTCAATAAGTGGTGCTGAGAAAACGGGACAGGTACATGTAAAAGTATGAGATTAGATCACTCCCTAACACCATACACAAAAATAAACTCAAAATGGATTAAAGACCTAAATGTAAGGCCAGACACTATAAAACTCTTAGAGGAAAACATAGGCAGAACACTCTATGACATAAATCACAGCAAGATCCTTTTTTGACCCACCTCCTAGAGAAATGGAAATAAAAGCAAAAATGAACAAATGGGACCTAATGAAACTTTAAAACTTTTGCACAGCAAAGGAAACCATAAACAAGACAAAAAGACAACCCTCAGAATGGGAGAAAATATTTGCAAATGAAGCAACTGACAAAAGATTAATCTCCAAAATTTACAAGCAGCTCATGCAGCTCAATATCAAAAAAACAACCCAATCCAAAAATGGGCAGAAGACCTAAATAGACATTTCTCAAAAGAAGATGTACAGGGCTTCCCTGGTGGCACAGTGGTTGAGAGTCCACCTGCCGATGCAGGGGACACGGGTTCGTGCCCCGGTCCGGGAGGATCCCACATGCCGCGGAACGGCTGGGCCCGTGAGCCATGGCCGCTGAGCCTGCGCGTCCAGAGCCTGTGCTCCACAGCGGGAGAGGCCACAACAGTGAGAGGCCCGCATACTGCAAAAAAAAGAGAAGATATACAGATTGCCAACAAACACATGAAAGGATGCCCAACATCACTAATCATTAGAGAAATGCAAATCAAAACTACATTGAGGTATCACCTCACACCAGCCAGAATGGCCATCATCAAAAAATCTACAAATGCTGGAGAGGGTGTGGAGAAAAGGGAACCCTCTTGCACTGTTGGTGGGAATGTAAATTGATCCAGCCACTATGGAGAACAGTATGGAGGTTCCTTAAAAAACTAAAAATAGAACTACCATACAACCCAGCAATCCCACTACTGGGCATATACCCTGAGAAAACCATAATTCAAAGAGTCATGTACCACAGTGTTCACTGCAGCTCTATTTACAATAGCCAGGACATGGAAGCAACCTAAGTGTCCATCAACAGATGAATGGATAAAGAAGATATGGCACATATATACAATGGAATATTACTCAGCCATAAAAGGAAATAAAACTGAGTTATTTGTAGTGAGGTGGATGGACCTAGAGTCTGTCATACAGAGTGAAGTAAGTCAGAAAGAGCAAAACAAATACCGTGTGCTAATACATATATATGGAATCTTAAAAAACAAAAATGGTTCTGAAGAACCTAGGGGCAGGACAGGAATAAAGACGCAGACCTAGAGAATGGACTTGAGGACACGGGGAGGGGAAGGGTAAGCTGGGACGAAGTGAGAGAGTGGCATGGACATACATACACTACCAAATGTAAAATAGATAGCTAGTGGGAAGCAGCCACATAGCACAGGGAGATCAGCTCGGTGCTTTGTGACCACCTAGAAGGGTGGGGTAGGGAGGGAGGGAGGGAGACATAAGAGGGAGGAGATATGGGGATATATGTATACATATAGCTGATTCACTTTGTTATAAAGCAGAAACTAACACACCATTGTAAAGCAAGTATACTCCAATAAAGATGTTAAAAAAAATAATAAATAAATAAAAAGCAGCAATATTTTGATAGCTTCAAAGCAGGGCTGTGTGTGAAAAACTCAACATCAGATCTGGACTGCAGAATAGTCTCAGGATCCTGTTTCTTGGAAACTCTGAAGTTACTATAGATGTGGACTGTTGTATTCAGGAGCCCCTTAAATGAAGGCTTTGCACCTAGGTTGGAAACTGAGGCTGCTTCTTTGTGTCAAAGTGACTTAAATCCTTCAAGCAAGGAAGGAGTGTTTCATTCTTACTGATACAATTTCAACAGCAAGGTTCCTAGTAGCATACAATTTTAGAGAACAAAATTTTTCAGTGAAATAGAAAGCAGACACTCAGAAAAGGGGGTTGTTATTACACTTTACAACTGTAGCATATCCTTGGGAGGTATGTTATTTCCTGTTAACTCTGCAGCTGGGATTTCTGTGTTCATTATCCCAGCCCAAGGAATGGCCAAGCAGATACTTATAATATTCTTAGTCGAAGTTAATTTTTACTTTCTCATTTCTAATTATCTTAAGTCTTCGAGGG